AAAAGATGGGAGGGAGGAAGCTGCATTACTTAAAGAGCAAATCCCCCTTTCTTTTTCTTTTCTCCTTTTCTCTGTCACCCATCAAACAGCATTCAGGATCTCAGATTATTTGCACAGGAAGGAAATGATATCCTCTGTCTGTCTGTAATGGAATCCAGATGATACCTGGGAATACTTCCTCACTTCTGCATCTCTATTAATCCTCTTTTCCAATTACTGTCCCCTAGAAAACTTTGCACAAGGGGGAAGACTAATTGGTTAGCCCTACTAATACCAGATGAAAGTCTTTAGACACACTAGGGAATATTTCATTATGTCAGACAATTCTTCTACTGTCCTCTGCAATCCAGGTGCCTTGGGTTTCTCAGTTTAGATTGTGGAGAGCCATGATTTCTTTTCTAAACATCCTCTAGACCTTGGTATAATAACCTTTGCTGCTGTATTTCTTATGCTCACTGAATTCAGTAAGAACCACAAGCACAACATCCATATCGCTTCATGCCCAAACTACCAAGTTAGCAAAGCTGTAAACATAAGCTATGAGTCTGGCAAGGGAGACATGTGAGGAAGCTGAATGAAACACAGATGGACTGGGACAAAGGAACAGACTCTAACAATCTGAGTCGGGACTATTTAGATGTTCCTAAAGATCCATTAAGGGTTCCAGAGCCACAACTAGGAAGGAACCAACCCTTGTTTATTCTAGGAGATTTGGGGGGGGGGAGTACATGAATCCCTAATCACAAAAAACAAACAAAAAAAAACTTTTGCCAATGGTGGCCAGATACATGGACACCAAACGTTTACTTATTTTTAGAAGCCAGTCCAGTGAAAATTACTTCCCAGTGCTACTGACATAACATTCATTTTGTCGTCGCTAGGAAATGTGGTAGACTTATATTTTGCTTCATCTCTTCTTCTCAACCAGCTTTTAATCTGAGCTTCTATTTTCATTTCATTCTTCAGATGATACCTTCTGTGGTGCTTTTTGCACCAAACAAGGAAGATGGGCAGGTAGGATACAGCCTGAGAGCCCAAACCAATTCGGTTTGTAGATTGATAAAAATCTGGGCCCTTCCTTGTTGTTGTTTAGTCGTTAAGTCATGTCCGACTCTTCGTGACCCCATGAACCATATTGCGCCAGGCCTTCCTGTCCTTCACTGCCTCCCTGAGTTTGCTCAGTTTCATCCTCAGGGCCCTTCCTAGTCATGGGTAAGAAGTATGCCATGATTTGGCATGTCTCTCTGAGCTGTTCCCCCATGCTTTCTCCGAGTTCTGTACAGCAAATGGGCTTACCATTGCCGTACTTGGATTCCTACTCCTGTTTGGAAGAAGGCTATTCAATATAATTTTTTTTTCAATCTGCTTTTTTCTCCCATCTCACTCCTTTTCTCCAAATGCTTGTATTGTTTTGTTTTCTAAGACTTGTTAGAGAAAATATTAATACTTATTTTTGTGGTAAATAACAAAATATTTTGGCAAATATTACAAGGCATACCCTCACGCCTAGGAAGCTATGTTTATATTCAGCATCAATGTCCATTTTGGTCCAACACTATGGTGTTTTCTTTCTCCTGAGATGGGATTTCTCAGGCATTTCATATCTATGAAAAAAGATTTGAAATAAGATACTGTCCAACTACGAATTTTGGAAAGTCTCATGCTTATTCTAATTTCTAAGCATTTCTCAGCTAAGCT